CGCTTTGGGTCAACTGGAAAAGGAGTTATGAATTTGCGACCTAAAACTTCTACCGCGCACGCCCCGCCCCCTGGGAACGGAATCCGGTCCTGCCATCTGTCATAAGTATTCCCATCCTGCCCCCCGTACTCCTACCAAGTTTGAACGTTCTAGGTCCACGGGAACAGGAGTAATGAATTTCCGGTCGGACACATACACCGACACACCCACAAACACACACACACACACATAAACACACCAACACACCAACAGACACACTTAGCGAATTATATATTGTAGGATAGAGGATTTCCAACTTCGTCCGGCCGCTCGCTTGATTATTCTGCTCTGATATGCACCGTTAGGCTGCCTGCTGCCGTCTACTTTTTTCTTATTCCGTTACCTCCTACTCTATTCTGACTCAATCGCAATAACCCTACTGCATCCCACGTTGATTCCAGCGAAGCGATAGCGTCTGAAATCATCACTGCAGTCGCCTCTTATACTGAAAGTTTGAAAGAGCTTCCCTACGGGGAAACTTCGCCGATCTCGCAATTAGCCGAGAACAAATCGCTTGAAGAAAGCCTGTCTTCAAGCAAACAGAACAGAACTTTGATGTTGTCCAACATTTTTCCGAGACTGTTTCAGGGCATATCGACTATGGAGACTCTCATACAAACTTTTTCAATATTTCTTATGACCAGTTCTGTTGAGATCGATGTTGACCAGTTCTCGTGCTGATGCACTCTGGAATGTCTTATAACATTAAAATTTTTTATTGGATTTTATTAACAACCTGCCAGTCTCTAGCCGGTGCGAAATCTCGGTGTGAACCAGCAGTTCTCGACCGACACAACCTTTCTAATTGGAGCTGAGTGGTCTCGGCTGTCGGGGCCTTTGTCTGCGGCTAGGTGCAATCCCTCAACATCCTCAAATCTCGCCTACTTCATGATAATGTAAACACAGATTGCACTTATTTTACCTTGCAGGCGCTTTTTACCATCTCCACAACAAGTCTTCGCTGCGAGAGATATACACACTCTATAGCGGCAACCTCACAAAAATGTTTCTGAGAGCATCAACAATTTCATTTGCTCCGTCCATCTTGCCAGCTCCTGCCAAGTAAACAGAAAACACTCGCTGTACTCCCATCCACTACGACGCTGACTGCTGAACAGGTATCCTAAATCAGTTGTGATGGCCGATACCGCTGCCTCCACGTTCCCTTTATACATATGCCCACGCGACGAGGAACAGTTCGATTTCGGCTGTCCATTGTTTCGGTTCAGCCGCATCATATTCCTTGCGGATGAAATTGACGACCGCGGCCTGGCCAACGGCCTTCAAGCAATTTCCCGGTAGCCTGTGAGCGTTCGAGGGCAAAATAGAAAGAGCTCCAAGAGCCCCCATCTTTGACGAGGAAGTATTGACTTGACAAAACTGCGTCAGTCTCACCCACAGAAGGCGTAGTCGTAGCGAGTAGGCCAGGTTTCGACTCGTCAACGGAGATTTACTCATTCAAACTCTTGAACTAAACAGTAACTTTGAACTCTTTGAAATCACAGGTTTTTTCGTATTTTGGGCACCCTTCAGCTGCAACTATTCTGGATGTCGCCATTTCCTTCCCTATGTCCCTGCTGCTTCTCCACCGTGTTGGCTTTCCTCAACGCACTCCTACCTATACGCGGGCGAAAAATAACAAGTTTCTACAAAACAGTTCATCACATATCATTTTCTCCCAGCCTCCATTACTGGCCGGATATTCGTTCCATAGTAACGTTCAAGTGTGTCGTTGAGAAGTCGCAAACATCTCGAATTGACAGCGCTACGCTCCCTGATTGTATTTATCCACACTTCCAAAGCTTCAGGGAAATCGAAATTCCTTCTTTTGTCACTTCACTCAGTTTTTTTTAGTATGCCTAGTAGGATGCCGGTGAACGATTCCCAGCACCGTCATTTTGGCAAGAAGGGAGCCTTTAATTGTTATGACTATGTTTGTTATATATGTTTTTTTATATGTTTGTGTTTGTATTTTATATATGTTTGTTATATATATTTTTTTATGTTGCGGCAAAGGTTTTTGGCAAAGGCCCGTTACAGGTTCTCTATAAAAATGAGGCCTTCGATCTCAACAGGATCTGTGCCAGTATTTACTGCAAGTCCTCTTCTATACATTCCACGAATTGGCCATTCTTGAATATGCCATTTTACAAAATGGTGACAAGCAAAGACAGCCTCCATACTGCACCTCCATCTGGCTGGATGCACGGCAAAGACCATCTTCAAACAGCTCCAGATTCCCTTAGGAACCATGTACAACAACGTCAATGGTACAAGACGACAGGAACTATGGAGGACAAGCCCAAAAATGGAAGACTGAAGAGAGCAACGACAAAAGAGGCCGTGAAAATCATTCGAAAGAAAATCCGCCGCCACCCTCGTATGTCCGAGAGAAAATTGGCTCTTGAGGTGGGCATTTCTGTTCGATCTGTTGGAAGGATTGTCACCCCTTCGACTTCGCTGTTATAAGATTAGAAAAGCTCACATCGTATCAAGAAAACTAGGCTCAAAAGATGTAAGGAGCTTTTAAAGCGATTTTCGCGGGCACGGCACAGCAACATCACTGACAAATGTCTGTTTTCAACAGATCAATTCCTGAACACCTAAAACGATGGGATGATAGCGGCAAGCCCTGCAGAAGCCAGCCAACATGGAGGGATTGCTCAGCGATCTGTAACCACAAGTCGTTGATGGTTTTTGGGGCAATCACATTGGACGGCAAGATGCCTCTGATTTTCTTAGAGAAAAGGGTCAAGGTGGATAGCAAGACTTACTTAAAAAGCGTGTTGGGAAAGGAGTTACTCCCCTGGGCTGAATCCCATTTCGGCAACCGGACATGGACTTATCAACAGGGCTCAGCTCCAGCACACAGGTACAATGTGATACAGGGCTGGTGAGCAACGCACCTCTCAGACTTCATCTCGTCGGACGATTGGCCCCCAAACAGTCCAGGCCTGAATCCACTGGACTACTCCGTGTGGTCAGTTCTTAAGACGAAGCCCTGCTGTGCTAAGCATAAAAGTTTGGATGCTCTACGTGCAACCCTTGTCGAAGCATGGGAGGATTTGGACGAAGACTACCTCCGTGCCGCCATCGACGCATTTTCTAGGAGAATTTTAGCCTGTACTCGCGAAAAAGGAGGCTATTTCGAGACCTAGTTTGTTTTTGTGATCTATATAGCTGTTGATAAATGCTGTTGGAGTTGTATTATGTATCGAACGATTTGACCATTTTTACGATCATATTTACTGTTGCCAAAACTTTTGCCGCACCCTGAAGTAGCGCTCAAGTCTTCGGCTAAATGCTTCTTCAGCCGCACTTTTCAGTCGTTACTCCTTTCCCACTAGATCTGATCATGCGAAATTGCGATATGTGTATCATGGGTGTATTGTGAATATTTACAACTATTGACCTACAATCTGATCATGTTTTAGTTATCCTAAGCTTGAACTCAAAACCACCTGGAAATACGGACGATGGTCCTTCTGGAAATTCTTTCTTTTTTGCAACGTTTTAAGTGTACGAGCGCTAATGCAGAATACAGTAGAGGGAAAACGCCCATAAGGTGCGAATAACTGCAGAAGTTACTTACTTTGCTTTTAGTGAATTCTGATACCGCAAAAAATACCGTCCATAGTTACATAGACATTGCTGTTTTGCAGTCAAATATTTTGTTTGGGGTGAAATATACTTGAGGAAAACATATCAAAATTTCGCGCAATTTGCTCAACTGAGAAAAAAAGCCTGGATGAAAAAGCGTGAAAGCGTTTGGTCGAAGACTTTTGAGTGCTACTGTATTTGTATATAATGGGTATTCCTGTATTTTCCTCACTGCCTGAACAACGTGCTTATAGCAAACATGTTCCCCACGCTCCAACCAAAATGAAAATGTGATTATCCTTTCTTCGACGTGGTGCGATCACCAGCGACCACTTTTAAAATTCTGCTTAAAGAATTGCTGACGAAGCTGGAAAGCAGTGAGATCACCATCTAAGTACGCGCCCCCACTATAACTATAACATAATATCATTTTGAATAGCCACTACGATTTCTGCTAGTCTTTCTGCCAGCGGCGGTTTCCCTTTCACTAACGAAGAGGCTAATACGTTATTCAGCGCCTCAATTACGGTAACCGTTTGGCTTTCCTCACTGGCAACTTCCATCATTAGCTCAAGGTTCATTCTGTTTGAGCTGTTTATTTCTGTCTGGCGCAAGTCGAACTCGCGCATGCGCTGGCTTAATTCTTGGTGGATTTCCATCTCTTCCAAAACTGAAAAAGAAAGTATTGGCAATAAAAACCTGATGAAAATATCGTCTAAAATCGGTTCCTGAATGAAAAACTACACCAAAGTAAGTTTGTCTATTTTCACAACAACCCGCAGCTGCCATGTTTTCTTCTGCAGTGAAGCATCAACTACACTCCGTGTATAGAACACCGCAATAACAAGTAGCGGAGAGATTCGCCGTGATAGGTATACCAGTGCAAACGATGGAACCATTTTGCGGTTCACGATTTCCAAAGATATCACAACATGACTTGCGAGTTAGTTTGAGGGGATCTATTCTCAGACAACCTTCGGGGTTTCTGCCCTCATGCAGTCGATCACGTTACAAATGAGATAATTTATTCTATTCAAGGAAACCAGATCTTCACAAAAACAAAAATCAACAAGTGAAACTAATTGAACTACTGACTCGAAAATATTTACATTACGGGAACTGTTTGTCAGCCACAAAGCTTTTTTGGTAATAATCTCTTACTACAGGATGAGTCGGTAAGAATACTTTCCTGTCACTCAGAGACACCACTGCTCCAGGTGGAATACCATGGAAAACCTGCAACATGGCTGTTTTTTTAGCAATTATGAATTTCCTGACTGAAACGGCAGAAACCTGTGATGGCCCTTTTTCTCCAGCGCAAATCTCGGCCGTCGGTAAATCATATCCCATGACGAGTGCAAGTCGTTCTCTAGCATCAACTAGCTCTTCTACTTCGGCCAAGTAACCACGATTAGATGCATTACGATAATACCTTGAATGGAATGTAAACTAAAGATACATCAATGATTTTAGTGCAACGTACTCTAATAATGACGGAGGTGGTGCTTTACGTGCTGGCACTGGACGCCCAGACAAAAACCATGCTTTAGGATCTACAGCAGCCTGAAGATTGAGGATTTTACAAGAGCTTTTATATATACCAGTCGGGCCGCCCGGGTTACGCCGGACCTCATTCCTTATTTTTACAAAGTAGTTAGATATGATGATATGATGTTCAGGCACATAATCAACTCTGGGAAAGCACTTGCTCCAGAACAGATCCGCTTTTGCATGTTCACTAATAAATTGACCTGCCACTTCTCCCATGCCGTACAGCCAATAAGTAAGTAATGGATAAGAAGGCTGAACCGAATGAAGGTTTTTCGCCTGCGTAATGCGCTTAGTGACCGATTGTTTTCCTTCACGACCGCGGACAATATATCCTGTTGTAAAACTGTTGTAAATTGCAAAGCATTCTAAAAGAGAAGACCAACACCTCTAGCTATCTTCTTGTTGATCAAAGATGTTAGGTCCGACCTAGTGTTTGATTTCGACTAGTTGATCAAACGCCTCGTAGGGTATCACATGGTCTTCGATCAGAATATCACCACTATCAGTACCACCCTTCTGGAGCGTATATAAGGCCACTAATTATGCATATGTTCGTCCTGTAGATCATCACCATAAATTCCCTCTGCTCTGCTACGATAACAGATGCGGACTGTTTTCCAGCTTATATCTGAGGGCATCATTACAATCACAGACTCGGGATGAAAACACGTATATAAGCGATCATATTGAACTTGCTAATTTTTAAATGAAACTTGCCTGTAGAGACTCTGGATCATAATACGCTACTCGAATTCGTCCACCACTCTTCTCCACAGCGGAGATAGCCGTTTGAGAGGCATATTGAACTTCAATGTCAATTTTGTGAGTGAAATCGTCCGCACCCTAGAAGTATTTTTATTTGGCTGCATATTCAATAAATGGGGAACGGAACCTACGTGCGTCCGAGGATGCGCGCGGCACTTTGCGCGGCGAAGTGCGTGGCGATTTGAACGACCTTAGCGCCTGTTAATGGGACCCAAATTTGAAGTAGAATAGATTAGTAGGATCGGCAAACCTCACTAAGCTACTGTACTCCAAGTTTGTGCCCTGATAGTAGGCGCGCGAGTTGTTCGTCTCCACGAACTTCGCCGCGCAATTTGCCGCGCGCATCCTCGGACGCACGTATGTACCCATACCCTCAATAAATAGCAGGTCTGTAGTTCGAAATCGCAAAATACTGCCGTGTTCTTTATGTTATTCGAAGACTGAGCAATTGTTCACATGCAACAAATCTTCCCTGACATCAAGTTCTCTTCAAAATTATTATATCCCTAGCCCGTTGTTGAATTGAGCTGAATATGTAGTGGTCAAATTTGACCAGCTAGAAGGAAAGCGGCAAGGAGGGCGTGAAATGAAGGTCGAAAGTTAGAGTTTGATACTCCGGCGCTGAGCACAAGAGCGCCATAAAAAGTACCACCATCAAGGCAGTGCACGCAAGAAAAACACCCAAAATGCACAATCGTCAATGATATTCATGGAGCCTAGGAATTTGGCAGTCAGGAGTATGACCCCTTCTCTACCACGAAGTCCCAACTTCATCCTCTACTACTGCTTTTCGAATTCTGTCTTGTATGTAGAAAACCTGAGCATAAAGAAGTAGGGGCAGAGGAGGAAAGAGACCACAGTTAAGATCGAAAACTTTTTCAATCATTGCGCCGAGGGGAATCTTTAATAACTGAAAATAAGTCAAATGAGAGAAAGGAAAACAAAAGCAAAATAAAAGTAGAAGCATAAAAATCGGCTCATAACAGGAATCGAAGGGCAAGGGGAAAGGAGTGTCTATGGAAGACATTATGCGCGCATTTCTTTGCGGTTGCGTGTGGTCCCTATAAAGCCGCCCTTTGCATGTTATACATATCTAGGATAAATGAAAATGCTGTTTTTAGAAGGTCATTGCCCATACAGCAAAACCAACGAAATAAAATGTTGACAGGCTCGCAAAGCTCAGGATTCGTATCCCCCCTTGCGTGGAGGTCAAAACACCTTGAAATTTCATGTTCTAGCCGAAAGGAAGCGAGAAAAGGAAGGTCATCCTAGTTAACTGAGTTAACCCAATTCTTAGGTGATACGGGAGACTGAAGACATCGATTTGAAGATAGGATCGTACTCTTCAATGATTGAACGTGCACCCACTAGAAAGAGTCTCCGTACAACTTGACATCAACATTTACTTCATGAGAGTACGCTTGAACAGTCGCCATGTAATGCTTTCATTCAATAACTATTTGCACTGCATGAAAATACAAGGATGATTCGACAGGTGAAACGCCCAGGTGATATGCCAATCAAAAGATGGTCTCCAAATATTGAAAACACTTGTCTTTATTCCTGGTGTGCATTATGATGGTGATAGTAAAAGCAACAGTAACGAACAATAAACTTTTCCATTCACTAAACAGCAGTAACTCAGGGTGGACTCTGATTTAGGCTAAAATTATGGCGGAAACTCCTCATTCGAAGGAAGACCGCTGATAAACCATGATAAACCTTGGTATGATGTTCGAGCGTACCCTACTTCCCACTCCTGTCCTTCCACGTGTAGTCCACCATGCCTTTAAACCTAAAGCTTACAGCACATCCCCCTTCCAACAATCCAGACATGACTCCTCTCTGAGAGTCTGCACTTTACACGCTAAACTCTGACTTAGGTGAAATAACACCGCGGCCGTGAGTCATTGAAATTATTACGAAAAGGAAACACCAAACACTTTTGACCATATGACTCTACTCTTTTACTGTTTATTAACCCTTTTCTTCTTCAACGCCTACCTACCCTTGAAAAGGGGACTGCTGTTATACGATGTAACCACTTTCCCTGGTATACCCTGGGGCCGAAGGTTCACTAATCACAACCCTCACGCAAAATATCAAGCCAGCGCTGCTACGGATGATGGCCCTTCCCACGCCTAAAGACGCTTGAAACAGCGTTGACCTGGATTGCGACCAAACTTGCCGACAATGTCTTCATTCTTGCGAAAGATAAGGTCATACCACCAAGGACAGATTTCGCCCATTTTATCAGCAACAGAAGTTACTACGAAACAATATCACATTGCACTGTAGTCCAAATGCGAAGCTCCGCCCACCCAACATTTCCGCTTCAATTACACTGACCAGAGACGCGCTTCGACTGAAGTCCAGGCCAGCACTCTGCACTACAAATCACTTTAAATACATTTACGTTTAGATGTTTGGTCTCAAGATGTATCAGACCAACATCTTTCTGATGCTCTAATATCATTCTGAACATACTCTGGGGAATAATTGACGCATCCTATACCTTTTGCGAATTCCATCACTATGGTATAGAAAAGTCGGCTTTCCAAGACACGAAGTTTTTTAGGAAAAATTGTGGCAAAAATATTTCTGACGTGACAGCTTTATTAGATAAATGAGTAAAAACAAAACCCGAATCTCCCAAACTGAAACAGCTTTTAAAAGTTATTCGCGGATGAATGTATATGCCCTAGAACCCCTTTCGCTTACTTGTACGATTAGACTTATCGCGACTGGTACTTTTTCAATGACATTCAACTGAATCGCTGTGTCATAGGTATAGGTATAGGTATAGGTATAGGTATAGGTATAGGTTTATTACGTGTGCAAAAAGCACAAGTGCGAAAAGTACATCGACGAAACACCTAAAACTAATACATTTTCCATAGAGTCAAGCCAAATGTCAAAATCTTGCAGTAATAAATGAAAGTTTTATAGTTCAGTAGTCCGTCTCATAAAAACGCTCTTACTCTGTGTCATATCTTAACAGCATTTTAGCAATCCGATGCTGAATTGAGCCAAAGATATGTTCAATGGTGCTTTTTTGAGAGCATTAAATAATAACTCCCAGCTCTAAACGAGAAACTTTTGGCACGCAAAGTTGTCTTGGGTTGGCTGAGAAAAATCTTGCTGGATCCTCCTTTTGTTCTCGAGGGCATTAATTTAAAAACTGTCAGTCATCAGTGTCATCAGTTAACAGTTTATGTGTGGTTCTACAATCTCTACATTAGCCCCTGGACCGTCCTCCAATGTTCGGCCGTTCCGCTAATCTATTGGAAAAAGGCCACTTTTGCGGATGTCTTTAAAGACAAGTGTAGTTTTGGAGAGAATAAATTATTACTCCTACTTCTCTCCTTTCAGTGTGTTTGTTGGTGCAAAAAACTGTACTATGCTATCTTTCCTTCATTTCTTTTTAACGTGAGCGCGACAAGGTTGTTGAATACCTTTCACTACTTCTCTATGATGGTGTAAGTTATAAGGCAGTTTTAAGGCAAATCTGAATCTAACTGTATAAAAGTGTGTGTGTAGTTTTGAAAGGCCAATAAGATTCAATCGTGGCTCAGTAATTGAAATATCTACTACTTGAACATAGGGGTGGGGTATTGGAATTCAGTAACCTTGTAAAATGTCACAAACTCACAAAAACAGAAACAAACAACAATAAGAGTTCATAATAAAAGAAAGTACAAAAACATTGTACCAAAAATGGAAAGAAAAATAATACAAGAAAATTACCTCGGCAGTGAGATCGAAGCCACACTGTCGTAATTTCGGCTTGATTTGGAACTTTTGTGTGCGGCATAGTGCAGCAACATCTATAGGCAATGTCGGATCTACCCATCCTAAGTCAATGAGACGAGAAAGCTCTGCCAGAGATAATGGAACGTATTCCCGTCGAACACTGAAATGAACAAATTTTATTTCTATCAGCAAAAACCGTTGTCTCAAAAAATTCGCCACTGGGAAGACATAAAAAGTCTATAACATCATCTTAAACAAAACTGCTGAGCAGCAGTGCATTATCTTTTCACCGTTTCAAGCCAAGCTGAGATGTCAGATCCGCAGGAACGAAGAATGCGGAAGTTGAAGTGAACTCATACAGGAGGTGTGACTTAAGGTCATAAGTTACACTTGCTTTAGTATACCGAGTTTTTTCTGACTGACATCGTAAAAAAAATGCCAATACCCAGAACTATCACTGCTCAACGCTTAAGCTACAGTAATATCCTCGAAAAAAAGAAAGGTTATAATTGAAATACAAAGACGTATGCATAAGAAAAGATATGCATAAGAATAAAAATTTTTAGCTGCACACTCTTTCGCATAGACGAAGAAAGTTTGATCTCATTCTATTTCACAAAATTCTCTATGGTCATTACGGTCTCAACCCTGGTCAGTTTTGTATTGCACGGTCCACGGTTACCAGAGGTGCTCCCAGTGGGTTAACCCGCGAGCTAAGCACAACCTACGATTTCATTTCTTCACAGCAAGTGCTGGCAGGGACTATTTCAAACCTGCTAGATTCTTCCATTAAGTATACAAAGTTTCAAAAACTCAATCGACCGTGACTTGGTTCCGTAGAGTACCAGTTATAATGCCGTTCTTTTTTAGTCCTATGAATTAGTTTTTTTTCTTTTATCTTTGTTTACTTTTCTTTCTCTGCGCGTTAGCTTCGTTGATTGTTTTGTTTTTCTTGGTCTGTTGGTATCATGGTGCTAATTTGACCATCTTCACATGAGTTTGGCTCATGTAATAAGTAAATAAATAAGTATATATATATAAGTGTTTCACCGGTAATGTTGTAGTCATTCGAAGCTCTGCTATCAGATAAAGCAAAGGTGCCCTATGTACATACGCTTCACCTACTCCAGTAAAGAAACAATTGACAACCAAATGCTACACTTCATTCTCTTTCTACACTGTACATATGAACGCATATATGTTCAACCACCCGACTTGCCCTATAACCCATTAAGTATTCATAAGCCCCTTTTTTGGCCGCTGGGAGCATTTTCCGAAGGAACTCCATGCGTTACCAGGCACTTCCAAATCAAAACAAGAAGATGCGATCGTAAAACATAGTACAACACGGAAAACTTGAAAATCCTATTGCTTGGAATAGCCGTGAATCCCTGTAACTTTTCAATTTCTGCTGTATTCTAAATATCCAAATATGTATCAGGATTCAGTTCTTGAGAAAAGTTAATAAAAAACGAAGTGAGTCAGTGACCTACCTTGAAATGTACATTTCTGGAAATAGAAACATGGAGGGAGAATGAGTAGAAAACCTACTTACTTTATGTCAGCATTGAAGTATTTTTCGCCAGGGAACAGCCTTTGCCATGGGTGGAAAAAGTTTCCCCAGATCCATCCCAGAGGAGGTTTAGCGGCGTGCTGCAGGGCACCTCGAGTATGACCTGCCTGCGAAGATCGGAAATTTAATTTTGGCACATAATCGTCACGAACATAGTCGGGCAAAACTTGCTTGATTTGCATATTTCGTTACTTGCCGACCAGCCGTCTTAGCCCCAATGTTATCCCGGAGATCCTGCACCCGTACTCTTGACGACTTCTCAACAATCCGCAGGGCACGCTCTGCAGATGACGTCACACGGTGCGTCATGTGCTGTTCAAAACACTTACAATTACAGAATTACAGATCTTTTCGCAAATTCTGGATAATCGAAGATACTTGACAGAACCGAGATCAGTCAACCGAACCACTCAAGAAATATTTTTATCAGATTACTAGATATTGACAATGACGCCGTCTCACCAAACGCACTCGTACGTAAACAAGTAATCGTACCGGAACAACAAATGGAAACCAATACCAAATAAATTATGCAAAACCAAGAAGCCGCAATGACTCCAACGAAAGATAATCAATGGATAATAAAGAAGAGTTCAACTTCAAAAGTGAAAAGTAGCAAAAACAAGAATGGGTAGTCAGAGCAAAAAGTTGGAATTTACAAGAAAAATCATTCAAAAAATGGAATCATTCAAAAACTTGATACGCTAAAGTAGAGATACGTTGCCTCTTGGTGACGAAGAAGACTCCACCGGCACCTGAAAGATGGTCCAAAATATAAACATGCTAGCTTATGATTCAAAGATTTCACTACCTATTGCAACTCCAAGCAACAGTGAGAACACGCCCAATACGAACATAGCTCCACCCGTATAACCAGAATATTTAGTGCTTGGAGGTGATGATGGAGCGTAACGACTTAGAGAACGTGCGGCCACAACCCAATCCTTCAATACGCTTACTTTTGAATGAACCAGTATCGACAGACTTTATAAGAATAGAACCTCAGTTTTTTCATCAGCAGAAATCACACTAAATTTCCAATCTCCTTTTGAAATTGTCTCGTTCAGTTTTTGCATAAAATCATCGGTTGAAACTTCAGCCTAAAATGATCATTTATAATCTGTCCATAAAAGCTAAGCAGAATAACAAACCGAGAAATTGTATTTTGGCACGATCGAAGGCTCTTTATCCGTTTTTTCATCCACTGAGAAGAACACCCTCAGCGAATTGTCAGGTCCCGAACTCTAAAAGGCTTTCATGAATTACTTACGCATACATTGATCCACACTATTCGTTCAAGTTCAACGACAAGTACTACAAAACATGATCATTGAATTGTATACAGGAGGTAGATGGCACCGCACATTTATAGTGCTTGACCACTTCCCTTTGAAACCTAGATAGCAGTAAGCATAACATATCAGAAACGAGTCGATTTTGTGCAATAATTGGCATACTTTAGGGCTTTCCGATCTGCAAAGGGCTGTATATGATTTGAAACTCATGGCTACTGTAAATCAAACATGCATATTAACGTTAGGNTATTCGTTCAAGTTCAACGACAAGTACTACAAAACATGATCATTGAATTGTATACAGGAGGTAGATGGCACCGCACATTTATAGTGCTTGACCACTTCCCTTTGAAACCTAGATAGCAGTAAGCAGACATATCAGAAACGAGTCGATTTTGTGCAATAATTGGCGTACTTTAGGGCTTTCTGATCTGCAAAGGGCTGTATATGATTTGAAACTCATGGCTACTGTAAATCAAACATGCATATTAACGTTAGGAGCCAATACAGCGGCTGCTTTCAGAAATCGCTGCCAGCCCTGGACATGTGCGCGAACGTGGATAGCGCCGCCTCCGGCCGGCGCGCGCGGGGATGGCTGGTGGACTCTAAGAACAGCCAGTCGCTTCGTTAAACTAGGTTGGATGGCCAGATGAGAACGGGACGGCTAGCGTGTCATGAGCCTTCATTTTCTAAAGTTCTGATGAAGAGTCTCAACACGGTAGAAGGGACGATGAGTTGTGGTTGGATTGTCTGAGGTTCCGGAGCCCCGACCTTTCCTCAACTAAGTAACAGCTTACTCTTTAAAAAGTGAGGCTTATAGGTAAACAACTGGATCATACCAAAATGGTATTGACCATACAATATTTGTAACTAAATATCGATTCTGCCTTGAGCTTTAAAACAATGTCTAGAAAAGATAAAACTGAGCATCGTCGCAAGCGACAAGAATCTAAAAAGGGGATAAGATGAGTTTTGTGTTGGCTTACAATTAGCTATGAGCCACCACGAAGATTCTCCAATAGCAGATCAAAAAGCCATACTTAAACATGGGGGCACAGAAAAACGCAGGACCACAGCCTTAGCAGCGAATGAGCCAACTTCACTTTCAAGCTGCTTTTGTAAATGTGAAGGGAATAACTTACGTAGAAAACACGGACGCGATGCGGATTTATGGGAGCTATTTGAGACAACGCCTCCGCTAGGGCAGTTGAGACTGTCTCAACTCCAACAGAATACACATTTTCAACTGATCCTGAAACGAAACTCGTTGCACCATGTAATTTGGCAATAGCATTCGAAATGATAAAATTGAAACTGACTGGATTTTACATCCAATATAAAAGTGTTGTTATCATTGTGCACTTTTGAGGATCTTGCAAAACATGCACGGATCAATTCGTTGTACTGCGAAGCTCTCATGGGTGTTGACTGAGAGTATCGCGAGTATGAAGCCAAGGATGGACGACCATCAGCGAGCTTAATTAACAAGTAATCATATAATTTTGCTGCAAAGTTAAGAAATGAGAGCATCGTACGTTTTACTGCTTGGAAGCTTCTCAATTAAGAATATCATATAGTCTACTGCACAAAAGCTTCATCATAGTTTGAGACGTCCGAAATGGGAAACGATTTTTGGGCACTACTTTAGCTAAATTGGGCTCCCTTCGAATAATGGCCTGCTGTTCTGTGAGTTGAAAAAGGAAACAAAAATAGTAAAAATGTAACAGTAAAAATAGTTAAGACGCCAAAAACGATGAAAATTCCGAAAATTCCAGCTACACGTCCAACAAAAGTGTAGCGTATTATAATATTTCCACCGCGATTTATCTTTCCATATTTCTATTGGATATCGGTGATTCGCCATCACTTCGGACCCTGCATTTAAGGGCTACAATTTTTACAAGTGCGTAAGAGAGGATGAGGTCAGAAAGGCACTCGACAACTCCTTCAAGTCCCAGCCCCATCCCTACAAGAAGATGGAATCGACAAGCTGCCTGAGCGTTGGCGCCGAGCAGTGGATGGTGACGGGGCATAACTCTAATTCTCAGGATGGTTCGCTACTGAGATATTTACAAAAAGTCGGGGGAGAGAACTTATGTATCAACCCAATACTTCATGGACCCAGTTCACAGTTGAACTCATTTTTTACTGAGCAAAAGATAATTGTGTTAGCGATTGACCGGCATCGGGAGGAATTCCCAATTAGTCTGTTATTTGAGACCATGTACATTATTAGGTGAAATCAAATACATCAATTATTTCTCGTATGGGTCTCGCACGGTATNATGAGAAAAATGCTTTAAAAAGACCCAGAATTGCTGAGAAACTAACCTTGAATGTCATATACTTCTCCAACCAGTTTCCATCAAAGTGCAGCTCAATGACGTCTCCGGTTTTATTATCCAAAGCCCGGAACACATTAAGCGTACGATTATCATCAGTCTTCAACTGTAACCAAGTTGCCATAAACAAGAATGCAATGGAAAACCCCGTCAAAATTTTCCAAATATACGAATTTCAAAGGCAGGAATTTCATGGCAATACTACCAAGAAAATCTTGAAAACCCCTACCTGCCCGTATTTTCCAAACTTCAATTCTGGCGCAACCAAAATATTAGCAAGAGGACGCATTGAAACTGTTCCCTCAGAAAGAACGACGTCCGCCGAATTGTTGGGTAATGCCGAGAGATCCAAGCAGCGTGTGTGGCCCAGAGCATACTCATACCCTTAAAGAAAATAGTGCTCCAATACATGTTTTACCAAACTACCATATTACAAAATTTACATAACAAATACTTTTTGAAATATGAATTTGGTGGATTCCATTAGAACTGTTTCAAGACTCTGTGAGAAACACAGATTATGTCACGATGACCCGTTGACTCGCTAGGCCTCCACTTAGCTGCCTCTCTTATACTATTGTCCGACTAATGCCGAGGGCTGACGGTATTTTTTACCCTAACCCCTGCGGCAAGCGACAGTAGTTTCGCGATAATTACCGTCATATTCCACTGAAAATCCCAATCTTCTACTGAAAGTTCGAATATTCCCCATCATAAAACGCGATTGCGCGCGACTTGATGCGACCAGCGAGGCACCCTGTTCTGGTAGAAGAAACCAGCCAAAGCCAGGCACTCATCCTTCCAATGAAAAAAAGTTCTAACCGATATTATTTTTAATGATCGGTCGATATCGATTTAACCGCTGTAGCGATTGGCGGAAGATTTGCAGAGTGCGCGTGCGTCTGAGCTTCTATGATACGCCTGCGCCTACATCAAATCTGCGATAGCGGTCTCGCGGCATAAAAGTCATTTGATCGTAGCCATTCATTGAGACCCGCTGTAATCATTTTAATCTGGCCAATACATTGCATGCTACAGTCATCCTTTGAATTTCTATGACATGCAGCGAGTGAGACCAAACAATACATAAGAGGTTGTGTGAGAATAAGCACGAAGAGAAACCTTTTCCAAAGTCGTGAATTACAGACACGGCTCCATCTGGTAAGCCGCTTTCATTAGTAAATAGCATTGAACCGTCTTTCTTTGATCCACTGACAATGACAAGTTCTTCTTTAGTCGAATAATAGACCTTTAAAACGATTCATAAGAGCTAAGAAGATTGGTATCACTCGAAAATACATACCGTTGCTTTATATGTTTGCTTGTTTTGATCAATCATTTCAATGAAAACGTTGAAAGGATCAGAAACGCTTAGCGAAATGTTTTCCTCTTTCCATCCATTACACATTATTCCGGAAGGGGTCTGAAACTACCAAAATAGTTAGCAAAGCATAATCAATCATCCAAAGAGCCTTTAAACAAACCGAAAACAATTGGCTCTCATCGGCTGCCACGGTGTCATACCGGTCAAATTCCACAGATAACTGGGACTTCAGCGACTTCTTATCTGCAATACTTTTGGAATCACTCAAATGAGAAAAAGAATAGCCACTTGAAAGATTCGAAATAAAACATAAACGCCCCAATTGGATCTGTTTTAAGGTTTGTACTTCAATGGGAATAGTTGTTAACGGTAGATGTCGGAGAAAAGAGTTGATCATTTACACTTGCTTACTTGCGTATCAGTTAAACAACTCGATTTCTTTACATGCACCTTGCTACAGCGCATAAGACTCCCAGATATTCGGTTTTCCTGATTTTCTCTAAACTTTACTTCAAAGTAATCTATATTGCACCTGAATCCAACGCGACTGAAAAATAAACAATGACTAAGCACGTTTTGAATTGAATTCGATGTTTCCCGAACATTCTGACGCGACAACTTGTCCCCCCGTGAATTCCTTACCTATTTCTAGAATTTCTCTTCCCGCTTAGTTGACAGCCTGCCAACTATAGCAAAACATATAACAACGCGAATACCGAGGGGTATGGACTACCACATCCTAGCGTGAGCCTTGAACCATGCAACCTTCATTCATCATTAATATTCTCGTGCTGATCCTCCTTGGTTTTCACGATTTCTCGGCTCCCGCTCTAGCCTTTGGACTAGAGAACAATTGCATCTTTTGACAGACATATGCCTTTGACAATACGGAGAAATGGCGTTCGAATATTCGCTGAGCACGCTCACCAAAAAGCAAATAGCCGGTGAATATTCCACCTCGCTGATCGAAAACTTCGAGCTCTTTTAAGCACTAAAAAAGGAAGGGAAGGAGGAGAGGGGGGGGGGGGGGGGGAAGCAGATCGAAAAGTATGCAGGAGTAAAGAACCCTCTATTTAACATAATCACCTGTCAGAGGAACTGAATAAGGTATTGACAACGTGCAATACTACGTATGCGGGCATTATTTGAGGAATGACAGCTCATAACTTAACCGCAACAAGTGCCAAATTTGACTAATTCATGAATCCCATTCGGAAAGACTTTTCTAACACTTTCCGAAGCGGCAAAATTATCATCTTGATCCGTTTCTCGATAATTAGAGCTGGGAAGTATCTTGCTGTGTTTCAGAGGGAATTGGTAGACATTGTTGCTCAGCCTACAAAATTTTCTCTTTTTGCATCATTTCTGGCGTTAGATATGTTTTTGACGAAACTATTCTAACTAACTTCTTATAGAATTACTTCTATTATTTATACATGAATTTTTGAAATAGTACGTATGAAATGCTCTATGAGCGTGAACTTGTTCCTCGTCTTAATCGGATGAACTATTCCGAATACACATGGCTAGCTATCAAATTCATGAATTGTCCAGGAGACTGCTACGAAAAAAGATTGCTAAAGGAGAAAAAGAGCCCAGCATTGCCCGAAAAACCTCGACGTAGAATGCTTAAGATATGAGAAGATTCTCTAGCAAAGGTTCTCAAGACAGCACTGCTCACTCTAAAAAAAATTGTTCTTGGACGACCTGAATACCGTGAATGGGTAATGAGCAG